ACCATTGGGGGGGGAGGGGGGGGGGGCCGGCCGAACCGGGATCATATATGCTACCCGGCCTTGCGCACTGCTCATGCCGTCATGAGTGCCGTCAGCTGCAAAGTGCGATTCGGAGTTTAAATCAATCCAGTGGTACACAGGGCAGTTGCTTCGATGCCTACAGAAAGAAATCATCACACGAGTCCTCATCAAAGTTGAGTTGCATTGACTCCTTCAGAATGCAGTCGCTTCCGGCATTGTTGTGCACCTTGGCGACAGCATTGACCAACTCAAAGCTGAACTTCATCCGATGAAAAACACGGACCCCAACCCGAGTGCGCATTGTCTCGTTGTAGCCCATGTACGCCTCAACGAAGACCTGTTGCTTGCAACAACAATTCAGCCGCTTCGATCATTGCTTGTTCAATCTGATCGCTTTGAGGTGCCAACGTGGTTGGCATGGAAAAGGTCGCTGGATGCCAAGTCTTCGACTTTCCAGATCAGCAACTGGCCGCAAGGTTATGTTTTCTCAAGTCTGCCGCATGAAAGCTCTCTGCTGCTATGTGCCTCGATGGGTTTGAAGCGAGCGGTGCTCCAGCAGTTCAAGCAGTCCTTTGCCTTTGAACATGGGCGGATCAGGGCAAGGACGTGTCTTCGGTGCTCGTGTCTGGATCCCTTACATGTCGGTCCTCCCTGTCTCCAACTGTCTTCAACGGCTTGTCATTCCCGAGGTTTGGTGGTGAATCACCCCGCCCTGTGTTAAACTACCGAAAAAGCTCCAAAATGCGATGTCTGGGTCACTGTTACAGAGGTGAATCTGTAAACGACAACTCCTGCAAGCTCCACAGAGCTAGCTTTGAGTCGTGTCTTCTTGCTGAAGAATGTCAAACAGGATATATCACATACTTCTGGAAGGGGACGGGGTGGGGCCTCTGCATTCACCAGGAAGCAAGCATCACTTGCAGCTTTATTCACATGTGCGCCGCGTTGTCGATCTCTGAAGTCTCTTGAATATGGGGGAGGGTACCCTCATGCGAAATGAGTAACTTTAGCATCCCGTAGCTTTGACTGTACTGTGTTCGGGCACCTTGCAGTTGAAGAGCTGCTTGTGGTCGAGACCCAGCATGAGCGCGATCCTCTCCTTGAAGGCCACCTGCCAGATCACAACTACACTGAAGCAGCCAGATGGGGGCCAAGACAACTCGGGCGAGAAATGCAGACATAGTTTTTGCCCCGAGCCGGCAGCTTTCTTCTCAGACTTAAAGCTCTACACAGCCCTGTCGCTTGGGCTTCCGTGCTGGAGGTCCGCTCTTGTCCTCAGCAAATGGGGTGCCAGCCCCCACGGAATCGTTGAAGCCAGTGCCCGATTCTGGCAAGTGTCTCCCAACCGAAGCAGCGCAAGGCTGCAGCCGAGGGCGGCCAAAGATAGGAGCACATCGCCTCGAGAAAGGACTCAGAATCAGAACCCCACAAATTCCCCACAAGCTTCGACTGCAGTGGTGGCCTCCTCGTGCTCCTGACGACGTTTGCGCTGGCTCCGCTTGGGGCGGTCTGAGGCCTTCCTGGCATCCCCTCCCGCTGTAACGGCTCTCAAAAAACATGCGCCGGATTGGGCAGGTCCTGTAGCCAGGGTAGAAGCCTCTGCTTCATTCGCTTCGGATTTAAGCTCACTTGGCGGATCTGCTGCCCATCCTGCAGGCAATCTGCTCGCAATCAAAGTCTGCAAAGCCTAAACCCACCACCATGGACATGCTTGAGAGCGCTCGGCCGAAAGGAGCCGAGAGCCTTTCTTTCAAGAGCCTACCTTGTACTGGGCAATCGTCGGATACATGTTCACCTTTTCCGTGTTGCAAAGTACCTGCCCAAGCTGCTACTGAAGCTTGCACTAGCTACAGTGCTACAGGCCATTGCCGAAGAGAACATACGAATTTCCTGCAGCAATCCTGAGTTGAAAAGTGCTGCTCTGAGCAGCTTGGCCTTCTCCGTCGCGCAGTCGACGATTGCAAAACGCACCTCAGGCCAATGATCATTGTAGGCAGCTGTACTTCAACGGCTCTGCTCACGCAGGACAAGTGACTGCAGCTTTGAAATGTCCGGTATTGAGCTTCTTCTGCCACTCTGTGGCTTGCCTCAAGCTCAAATCATATCTCTGCAATTCGCGGACACTCTTGGCTACAGAACATCCCAAGACCTGGTTGCCATCTTGGGTGCTCAGAGAAAAGGAGCTCGAGCTGATGGCAGGGCTCCCACCAAGAGGGGCAGAAGGCCACCACCCATTGCTCGGCACCGCCTCAACGCACGCAAAGGGCAATGACGGGTGTGACAGACTCAGCCCACGCCGCCCCGCCTCCTTCGACCGTCTTGGCTGTCCCCTGAAAGAGGATGCTGTTCAGGCGTGCCAACTGCCTGTTAGCGGCGGCCAAGCTCATTTTTGAGCACTAGGAAAGCCGGCTCTGCATGCGTAGCATTGCAAGTACACCCGTTCATTAACAGCCGCTACAGTCTTGGCGGACACGAAGATTCTGTATGTTTTCAAGAAGTTCCTTGCTTCCACGCCACACCTTCTGCACCTAGTGAGAAACAAGTCCTCTTGGGCTGGGCTCACTGAGCCGTCCGGAACAAGCTTCCCAAATTCACCAATATCTAAGGCCCACGAGCCTTCCCATGTAGTGTTCGCTGAAGCCTGTTAGTTCCTCCGGCGATGTCCAGCTATCACCGATCACCGGCACCTGGCATGCGATGATCTGTCCGAAGGCCCCAGGCGCTACCATACCGGCCATCCCCACCTCTCTGGCTGCGGCAATGGAGACCACACAGGAAAAGATGAGGCTGAGGGATGCCATGGCGAGACGGTACGGGAAGCGTGAGTGGACGAAGAGAGCGAATCTCTCTCCGATGCTACAATTCGGGGCAGACCGCTGGAAGCTCGCAGAGGAAGGTAACGGTCAGACAGGTTCACCAGGGCTCTACAATTCCATGCTATAGCAGCGCATGCAGCGCACCACGACACCGAAGGCGATGATCATCGCCTGGCTACACAAGGCTTGAATCTGCTCGTAAGTTTGGAGTGCTGAAAGCTCGCCAGGACAACCAAGGAGGTGGCCTCAGGCAGCGATGCGACAGCCGACAGACCATGAGAGCGATGCTCTGAATGCTGATCGAAGGGCCCATTTCAGCACATGGCCAAAGGCCCAGCCAGCGGACTTTCCCAGTACCTCGAGGCTTGCTGCTTCGCCGCTCATGCCCCGAAGTCAACTCGAGAAACTGGAGAAATGCGAGCATTGCTGAGGCGACAACAGCTACATACTGCCCGAATGTCCAGTCCGGAAGCCACTGAATCACCTTCAACTTCCAGAGCAGGAGTGAGGCCTGACTGTGGCCGCACCACTTGGCCGTAGCATAGGAGCCGTGCCAGGTACATCAGCAAGACGTTAAAGAGAGTCATGAAGGTGTAGAAGTACTGCGCAGCCAGGCAGCATGCCATAGGATACAGCTCGACAATGAGTCTTCACAGCACACCACAGGCTTCGAGCTCTTTTCTTCTGTACCAAGCCAAAATCCTCGAGGATGATGTCCTTGGCGGAGCTTTGCCTTGTGTTGTTGAGAGCGCTGCCTTTGCACAAGATTGAACAAATCGAAGCCTTGCAGTTGCAGGAGTGTGAGATGTATCGCAGTGGGAGGCGCGCCCTCACACTGGATTTCGCCAAAGCATGCATGCCCACACTACTCACATCAAACAATTATGTCATAATTATGTGGGACTCCAAGATCAGCGGAAAAAAAAACACACGCATTCGGCAGCCGCGAGGCTTACCGTGTGGAAGCCATAAAGCTTCCCTACGATTCTTTGGTTAAACAGGCACAGCCAAATGCTTGCCACGACTTCGAGGTGCTCTCACTTGACGGTGGCCCTTGCCTTCGACTTGTCGGTCTGCGCAGGCTTGAAGACATACTGGATGAGGGAATCTCTAATGGGCAGCATGCCCGGAAACTCCTTCCACATCTTGTGGGGGCTTAGCTCATTGTTCGAGCGCGCCGCTGTGATGACCTTCGCCTGCTCCTCAACTGTAAAGTTGCCCCACTTGAAGTCCGGATCGATGTAGTCCCTGTACAGCTCTAGAACCTGATTGTGGCTGATCGCCCCAGGGTTGCAGAAGTTGTAGACACCCACCAGCCGTCTCAGGGCCATCTCCACTGCATAGGGAAGGAGCTCCGGAAGGACTGTCATGCTGTTAGGGATGTTGACCACTTTGTTGTAGTGGGCAATCTTGTAGATGAAATTGCGCTTGTTTGTCAGGATGTCGCCATCGATGGGCATGCGAACACGCAGTGTCAGAACATGATCGAACTCGCGCAGCATATTCTCCACGTAGCCTTTCGTTTCGGAGTAGAAGGAACCGGTGAAATTGGGGCGGTCTTCCTCACTGAAGGTAAGTGACGGGTCCTTTGCGACCAAAGAGTCACCACGCTCGATCTTTTCGGGCTTCTTCTCGTCGTAGTGGAAGATGCATCCTGTAGCGAAGTTGGTCATGTGAATACCGTGGACTGCGCAAAGGTCGGCAAGCGTCAGGGTTCCAATCACATTCACCCGAATGGTCTCCTGACGATGTGTCTCACACCAGTCGACATTTGGACGGCCCGTCAAGCCAGCTGCGTTCATCACATGAGTGCAGCCACTGTGGAGCAGCTCACGCTCCACACTCTCCCGGTCCTGCAAGCGGGAAGAAGCCCACTCCCAGGCGAAGCCCTTCTGAGTTAGCAGATCGCCAATCATGCCACCAATCCAGCCGGTCCTTCCGAAAACCAGGAATTTGACCTTCTTGGCCTTTTTTGCGGGGGGCTCAGCATGACTGGAGCCTTGCTGATCAGAAATGCCTGGGGTCTCCAGCCTTGGAATGGGAACAGGGTGTGCAACCAAGACAGAGTCCATATCACAGTCGGCCCAGAAAGATTGGCCATGGACAGTGAACCAATCTACTGTCTGTTTCAAGCCTTCATCGAATTTGATGGTTTCCTTCCATCCCAGCAGCTCCAACTGCTTCAGATCAAGGAAGTAGCGCATGTCGTTGAAAGGTCTGTTGCGCACATGTTCGATCATCTTCTCCGGCTCAATATCCGGCTTCATCATGGTGACAATCTGTTTCACGATGTCGATGACCGAGTGCTCCTCGGAGGTCCCAATGTTGTAGGTGCTCCCGGTGACCCCCTTGTGCAAGATGATGTCAAAAGCGGCTGCCACGTCCTTAACGTGCAGGTACGAGCGCTTGCTCAGACCATCTCCATGCACCGTGAGCTTCTTGTTCCTTTTCAACATCATGATCATTTTGGGAATCAGCTTCTCCGGGTATTGGCGTGGGCCGTAGACGTTGTTGCCACGGGTGACAAGGACGGGCAGTCCGTAGGACCGGTGGTAGCTTTTCACCATCATCTCTGCAGCCGCTTTCGAGGCTGCGTAAGGGTTCGTAGGATCCAATGGAGAGGTAGCCTCAACCTTCATGTCCCCTTCATCGTGGTAACTAGCGTTCTCGCCGTACACCTCATCAGTGCTAACATGGATGTACCGCTTTACCTGATGCTTCATCTCCTTCAGCACCTCCAAAATTCTGTGAGTGCCCAGGACATTGTCATCCGTGAAGGTCACAGAGTTGCCAAAGGAGAGGTCCACATGCGTCTGTGCCGCGAAGTGCATCACTGTGTCGATGTCCTCTTGCTGGATGATGTAATGGAGCAAGTCCGGGCTCTTGATGTCTCCTTTCACGAACTTGAAGTTGGGCTTGCCCTGCATGGACTCGAAGTTCTTGGTGTTCGAGCAATAGTCCAACCGGTCCAAGATGACAATCTTGTACTTTGGATAGGTAAAGAACAAGTGCTCTGCTACGTGGCTTGCAATGAAGCCAGCTCCGCCTGTCACGAGTATGTTCCTAGGCTCGTAAACCACCTTCGCCATTGCTCTAAGGTGCTTCTTTCGAATTCCTAGCTGTCACTTCGCTATCGGCTATGTGGAGCCGAGCCGCCTAGGTTTGAACCCAGTGGCTCAACATAAAACGCTCAGCTGTCAATTCATGCACGGACACTTGCGTGTCTTGTGCGCATCAAGACACATGCGCAAAGAGTTACACAACGCGCTGCTGAGGGGGGCAGCCCACCGGCAACCGCTGCGACATCCTGCTCGGACATGGAGCAGGCACGGAACGGAACCAGCCCTGAGAACTGATCTGACTGCACTTGCTTCAAGCTTCGGTCCAGGATGCCATCTTCCTTGCACTTGGTGAGGACATCCCGGCGCAGTAGCACTGGGCGTGCACAAAACATACCAGCGATTGACGCTTGCGTACAGTGGACGACGACCATCACCATCCTCCTCAGCATCATCAACTTCGCTATCGTGATCATCATTGCCACCGTCAACATCAGCGTCAGCCGATCATAATCATATAAACGTCATCGTCATCATCAACAGCACAATCACCGCATCGTCATCATCGGCATCATCATCTCGCCACCGTCAAAACAACATCATCATCATCATCATCATCATCATCAGCAGCAGCAGCATCATCATCAACAGGAGCGACAACGAGAACGACAACCACGATCACAACAACCACAACAAAAAATGTGTCGTCAGCCTGTTCCTCATGATCACAGTCATCATCTCCCAAGATCATCCTCATCAACAGCAGCAAACGCGGCTGTCACCAGCGTGTTCAGAGTCCGTCGTAATCGCCATCATCATCCTCGTCATCATCACCGCCACCATCATCGCCTTCATCATTGCCATAGACACAAACGATTGGCAATCACGGTCAGATACAACATCTTTGCACAACAAAGTCCGCGAAACGAAGGTATCGTGCAACGTGCCTCGCACTTGCCTTCACGTGACAGGACGACTGCATGAAACGTGCTTCCGTTCATTCCGTTCTCCAGCAGCTCTGAAAGTTGATTTGCGCTTTTGCGAGAGCGCTTCAACTCTGCGACATGTAATCTCATCTGAACCCAGCTACTAGTAGCCGCCCTTGTCCAATCAGGGAGTCGTGGGCACAGTTTTGCTGGAAGCGCGGACTCGCATTGGGCCCCGACGGGAAGGCAGAAGAGCCAGGCGCAGGTAATGGTGGTGAATATCAGGATCCACCTCAAAACGGCATCAAGCTTCTGATGAACAAGTGCGATTCCGGGGTCTGGACCCCTGGTACTCTGCGTCGATGTTCAACCTGGTGGCAAAACGGCCCTGCAGACACGAGCACCGATGCGCACCCACTGTGCATCCGGCCTGTAGTCCAGCACTTCGGTCGCATGAGTCTTTATCTGATCCAGCGGTGGCTTGGTGGTGTCCATTGCCCCTTGGTCCTAGGCAGGACCTCTCCGAGCACCTAAAGAACTCGCAAAAGACATCTGGTGTACTCTGCGTGTACGATTATGTGCTAGCTGTCGAACGTGCTAAGGCAAAACTGCTAAACGTCTGAGTCTAAACCCTACAGAGTAAGCCAGTACCCAGCTGAAGGTTCTGGCGCTTCTTCTCCATTGCAGGATGCTTTCGATTGATCTTTGTGGAGATTTTGCCAGCGAGAATCTCGAGCTGGCTATGGTACTGAGAGACAACAGCGACCAACATGAGATACCATGAGCTGGCAAGAGCACTCTGACCAGATCGAAGCACAATCCGACACTCGTTCTCGGATCTTCTGTCCACAAAGGCAGTCAGACCGTGGACCACTCTACTTAGTCAAGTCGTGCAACGACCTACTGCAGCATGCAGCTTTTGTCGCTCAGGTGCCCGAGCACCAACGAGTAACGAATCATCGCTGTAGCCACCACGTCACTTCCATCACAGCCGAGATTTGTTCCAGGTGGTCAGAGACCAGCACCGATCCGGCGCTGTCCTGAGGCTACGGGGTATACAAAAGCGAGAGAGAATGAATCTCTGCGAAGAAGGCAGGCTCATCAGTCACCCCTCTGTCGTCCTGTAGACAAGGCTGCTGCCCAGCCAGACACCCGGAGCACGAGCGGATCGTCCTGCAATGCGACCGAGTTTACTCGTTTTACTCTACTCAGTCAGGAAGAACTGTTTCTGAAGGGATTTGTTGAAGAAGGGGGTCCTCCACTTGGAAGGCCAATGGACACCTGAGACTGGCCTACTGGGCCTACAGCGGGCCAGTCACACTCCCTGGGGCTGGCGCGTGGTTCCCCGAGCCTTCAGCCTGGCCGCCTGCAGGCAGAGACGTTGCTCCAAAACACGCCCGCTTTCGCTGCGCCTGTCGATCTGCGGACTTCAGGGCTTGCTCGTAGGCCTGGGAACTCAAGCAGGCAAGGCCCCAAAGGCCCCCAAGGCCCGCAAGGCCCGCAAGCCTTCGCCACGCTCTGGTCCAAGAAGATCTCCGGATCCAGCTTCCGTGATGTAGGCTGGAAAGCAGGATCTTCAGCTTTGCCGACTGTGCTTACTGTGTATTCTGCACGCAAAGCGGCATACGGCCTTGAAGAACGGCCGCTCAAAAAGCTTCGCCAGCGTAGAGACCGCAGGCAACTGGCAGCAAGCACGTGCTTCAGAACATGTCTAGCTTGCCGTTCTCACGAAGTTGGAGCAAACTCGAGCCGCGCGCATGGTGACGGAAGAGCAGCTGAACCTCCCACAAGGAACTGGAAGCCACCTGGCACATGGCTACAAGGAGCCCAGAAAGACCTGATTCAGCAAGCCGTTGTGATTGCCTAACGGCTTTTCTCAGCAACTGCACAGCTCACCACTGCAAGTCAAAACACGGACTGTTGCTCCCACATGTCCGGGAAGACTTTGTCATGCCGTGACTCTTTCTCTCACGATTGCCTGCTTGGTAGCCTGTGTGAGGTCCGCCTCGCTGTCGAAGGTATCCTTCGACTTTGTACAGTCGCTGCTTCTGCATCTGCTGGAGAGAGCTGGCATCACCACAACGAATGTCTACTTCTGCCCGGAAGATGAAGACGACGCGCAGCAGACGACACAACTGTGTTCGACAGGAAGCAGCAACGACGCTTTCAACAGCAGACGCTTCCAGCTTCCGGAGGCGACGGGATTGCCTTATAGGGCCCATGATCGGAGGAGGTCCTTTTTACCTGAAACCTCGCCCCAAAACCCACCTTCTGCTCCTAGCTTTCGGAACTTCTACATGCTGGGCTTATCTCGCACGTTGCTAGGGAGAGGCTGTCATGTCGCAGGCGAAAACAACACACATGTCTGTCTTATTCATCTCTCTGAACAATGCTCAAAACATCATCACCTGTGAGAACCGGCGGCGAATTTGCCAAGAAGACCCCAAGACTCTTTGCGCATTGCAGCCACCAATCAAAGACTCGGGAACGACTTGCGGGCCCCTCCTTCGTCAGGTTCGACATCCCTGGCGCACATCATGCTGGCTGTTGAAAGGCGCAATCGATTTCCAAAAACCGCCACCAAGAGCGACCCTTCACAAAGGCGGATGCAAAAGTCACCCCACTGAACAGCCCGGAAACAACATCGCCTTCAATCTCGTCCCGATGCAGAAGGAAGCTGCAGTGGCTGTGGTTCCTGCATCCATCTACCCAACAGGCCATGCTTAGGACCTCGCCAAGAGCCTGCCCTAGAGCTGAGAAACTGCACCATCATCAGGAGGGCTGCTGTCTCCATCTACTAACCACGAGCCTCTGGATGAGGCCGTATGCCAGGCTCAGGAGCCACAAAATGCTCCCAGGCCTTGTCGCAAGAGCAAGGACGCAGGATGTTGAGTTCTCTACCCGGAAGCTTTTCCTCTCGGGGGGCAGGGTGCAGATTTGACTGTCCGTTGCGCTCTGGTTTGCCCTTGCCAGTGTTGGCTTCGGGCAGGTGGTAGCAGCATTACCAGTAACAGCAGTAGCGGCAGCAGCAGCAGCAGCAGCAGCAGCAGCAGCAGCAGCAGTACGCGTACGAGTACGAGTACGAGTACGAGTACGAGTACGAGTACGAGTAGGAGTAGTAGGAGTAGGAGAAGGAGTAGGAGCAGGAGCAGGAGTAGGAGTAGTAGTAGTAGTAGTAGTAGTAGTAGTAGCAGTAGTAGTAGTAGTAGTAGTAGTAGGAGAAGGGAGTTGTGTAGTAGTAGTAGTAGTAGTAGTAGTAGTAGTAGTAGCAGTAGTAGCAGTAGTAGTAGTAGTAGTAGTAGTAGTAGTAGTAGTAGATAGTACTAGTACTAGTACTAGTACTACGTAGTACTAGTAGTAGTAGCAGCAGTAGCAGCAGCAGCCGTAGCAGTAGCAGTAGGAGTAGCAGAGCAGTAGTAGCGGTAGCAGTAGTAGTAGCAGTAGCAGCAGCAGCAGCAGCAGCAGCAGCAGCAGCAGCAGCAGCAGTGACAGGAGCAGGAGCAGCAGTCCGATTGTGAGCCGACCCTGGATCTGAACCTGAGGCTTCGGCTCCGGAAGCGCGATTGCCACCCGGAGACCTCAAACTCAGGTGAGTGTTGGGAGCGTCGTGGTTGTGTCGCTCGCTGCCCGAGTTGGGCAGCAGACGCAGTAAGCATGCACAGTTGGGTCTGCCCGGCGAATATAGAGGTATCTCACTAGCTGTGTCGAGCGACAGAACCCATATGTAAGAAGTATACAATGGCCGAAAGGAGGGCCGGGCATTTCTTGGCGAAGGCTGCCGCAAATCCGCCTGGCCTGGAAGCAGGTTGGACACCGTCAAAACGGACATGTCTTGACATCGACGACTGCACATCTGGAAGATTCTGGAAGCACAGATGCGAATCTGGTAGCAGCTGAGTCGCAGTAGGCCACTAGTAAGAGCAGCTGCCTGCAACCATGTCAAAGCCAAGAGCTATCCACGAACAGCTCCTGCGACCTCCTTTCTGCTGTTGCGATGCTCGAACTTTCTATGGCACATACTGCGACTTGGCAGTCATGGCCTTACGACAAATCTCACATAAAGCTGAGGCTTGTGCTGCCAACCGCTGGAACCGCGCACGGCCTGATGCGACGTCACGTTGCAAGACTTGGATTGCCAGCCAAGATGTATCCTGTCTGCAAGCAGCAATCGCTCAGACTTCGCTTTTAACAAGCTGACCAACCCTCCGTTCCAAGTGGCAGAGCGCCCTTTGTACAAGTTCTACCACTCGCTGCATAACAGTCACTAACTGGCTGTTCAGAAGGTTGCAAGCATGAGACCGCATTGCTGCGGTCATGATGCACGTAGGCAGGGAGCATATGCGGCTGCCAAACGCATCACCGCCGAAATTGCTCTAAATTGTAATTCAAACTGTGCGGGCGGTTTGTCACCTCGACAAGCCCACCACAATGTCTTTACAAGCGCTGAGTTGTAGAGAACTCTTTCTTCGCTCTCGATCTCAGCAGTGAAAAA